CAGCCACGTGAGTAACACGCTGATGAAAAAAGAAATGGCTTGGAGGGGGGCAGTGCACTCTCTTCCCCTGCCACCAGTGGCTTAGCAGTGACTGAAGCGTCCTGGTCCTTTCCTGCCTTCCCGGTCAAGAGAGCAGAGAGAGAAGCTTACGTTTTCTGTTGACTCTGTAACTTCCTACCATGGACTGAGTTAGATGAGTTGGTAGTTGTGGAGAAGCCGGAGCTTCCTTCCCCGCTTTCCGCCCGGGTGCTGTGATTGCGGGCTCCCCGGTTGTGGCAGGGTGCTGGGCATCACTCTTCCCTTCCTCTGGTCTGGGGGGGGGGGGGGATTAACAGCCACGCTTTCCTTGCAAACACAGCTAATCCCTGAAATAAAATTTCCTTTTTCTGTGAGATGTGTTTCATACATTTCTTTATGGCCTTTTCAAGGAGGCCATCCTGAAACTCCCAGCAAAAGGTCCCAGATAAGTAATGAATTTTATTTAGTAATAGTCACAGTTTGTAATTTGCATTTTATGTGAAAAAAAGAGGGCAGAGATTGCCTTAGATACATTTTTGTCAATAAGAGCACTGCGTCGAAGTATCGCCTTCTTCTTCCCCTTTAGTTTGCTGATACTTCGTTTGCTTGTTTGATTTTGTTTGTTTTATAATAATCCAAAGGAAAACATTCTGAGAAAACAAAAAAGGAGAAAATGAAATAGTTGTTCAACCTTTGAAACTTAAACCTTTTAGCAGTACCTGAGAATAGAGACATAATAATAAAGACACTTCTTTTCACTCATTGCTTCTCAGTTTTGGACTCTTTACATTTATTGCTTTACTACTGCAGTTTGCAAAAGTACTGTTTGAAATTGCATTTCATCTCCTGCATGTTGTGAGAGGAGCCCTTCGTCATGGTTTATTTTACAAGCTCAGGTCAGCCAAGACAGGCTTATAAACTGGTCGCTGACCAGAGAATTTGCTACTTTTGTAAGTTCATCGAGGTTTTATCCAGAACCTGATACCAATAAAACAGTCGCTTCACCAAAAATTCACAAAATTCAAGTGCTTTATTCTGATACTCAACACTTATTCCCATGTCTAGGTCATTCTGGAGGATGTGTGGCTATGCGAGGGCAGCACCCCATTGGTTACTGGGAGGTGAAGAGCTGTAAGAACTTCAAAGCAATGTCATTGTGCAAGCAAAAAATCAATTCTTATGAAGAACCTGAACTTACTTTTCAAAAACATTTGAGTTCCTGCTCTTTTGGATGGGAGTCAGAAGCTAATCTGCTCAACTGCTACAAGGTACGTCACAAACTTAATCAGAATTTTTCTGAATCTACATCAGCGTAGGGATACACTGTTCCTAAAATATTTTCGATAAAGTGTTATTTCTTTCACTCAACAAACAAAAATTAATCATTACTACTCTTCACTGCATTTTAAAGTGAGTGAAAGTCTTAAGAATAAGAACTATACTTGGAATATACATGACTTTACTGTAGGAAAAACTGTGAATAATATTTGATTTTTATGGGTTTCTGAAACAACTGCTCTCCAAAATCCACTACATTTATGACAGTGTTTATTTTATTGCAGATATTTCACAATGAAAAAGTTCTGATGAGAAGAACATGGCATGAAGCAGAAGCATTATGCCAAGATTTTGGAGCACATCTTGCTAGTTTTAGCCATGTCTATGAAGAGACATTTTTAAACAATCTATTATATACAATTTTTGATAGGTAAATATATTTTTTTTACACCAACAAGATTTACCTTAAGCATACTAATATGTAAAAATAATGTACAATTTAGGTTCTTCTGTCCTCCATATTAGTGGCCGAAGAAGTCTCTAACATGAACTTAGAAATGGGTGAAAAGAAGTGTATTAGCAACACTGTAATGTGATTCTTTTTGAAGATGATCTTTGTGGTAGATGTCGAGCAACTGTTAATGTCAAGGTGATATTCTTGTGAGTTAACATTCTGTGTTGAAATGAAGGTTCGGCAATTTTAATCCTATTTTAAACGTTTTCATCTTTAAAAATATAATTTAACATTTTAGTGGGAAAACCAGAGTTTACTTCACAGATACTAAAAAGTTAAGAAATGTTTTACAGAACGATATATTGAATTCAAGAAGAAATGAATATGGGTATTTGCGCTATTTATAAAATAATTTCTGAAATAGCTAAGGAAAAAGTGCATGACAAATGTTATTTTCTTTGTTTCCATCACAGGACAGAAGAAAGACAGTTCTGGATTGGATTTAATAAAAGAAACCCGCTTTCTGGAGGGACATGGCAGTGGTCTGACGGAACACCTGTAACTATCTGTATACTATATGTTTCAGTACCTTTCAAGTCGTATCTGAGCATAAGTTCAAAAAAATAAGCCTCGTGAGCGAACGTTGGCCAAGAAAACTCTTTGGTTTTCAAGTCCACATACTTCACTTAAAGTAATTGTTACAACAGGATTAATAGTACACTACTATTAAAATAGCAGCCTGTGCAAAAGGGCTGTGCAACTGCAGAAGGAATTTGGTAGGATTATAAAGTTTTGCAGATGTGTACTTTCCTGCAAAGCACGTTGCATTCAGCCCAGGACCCCGCGTATGCAGAGTGAACACATATATGTGTATGTGTGCCTGTATATATATATATATATATATATATATGTTTACACATATACACCTGCACACACATTGGAAAGCCTTAGAGCTATGCTTACAAGCTTTATTTGTTCTATGACTGTTAGGTTCATGCCTGCATTCAGAGCCAAGTCTTTCCTTTTTTAATACCACTTTTGATTTTGCATCCTTGAAGATGCTGGTGCCTTATGCCACACTAATGGTTAGTACCTGGGATTTAAACATCAAACAACTGAAGAAGGGACAGTTTTTAAACTGTAATTGCTTTTCAGCTTTGAAGAAAGGTGCCAGCTCTGCCATCGTTAAGTCATTTCAGGATGCGAGTTCAAAGTTCAGTCATACAACGTGTTGAAACAAAGCAAAGGCTGGTAGATGTGGGCAACTACTGCTAATCGCGTCAAAAAAATGTTAGGTTTCATAGCTATTCAATTATTTTTATGAAGAAGGAGTCTGATATAAGATGGGAAAGTTGAACAGGACCTTGAGAGAACATGATTATGGACCCTGTTTTTTGGATTTTGCCACCATAATTTAGATGGCCCTCTAGTTGTTGCTTATGATCTTACTATACACACATCTCCAAATCCTTCCTTTTTCTCCATAATGAGATTTTGAAATGCTTCATCTCGGGTTTTCGGTGAAAGATAATGAATGTGCTGTTTTCAGGTTGTATCTTCATTTTTGGAGAGCAAGTATATTGAAGATGACTCAAGAAGCTGCGGTGTGTTCAAAGTAAATAGCACAGTCTTTCCAGCACACTGCAATGAAAAGCGTGAATGGATATGCAAAATACCAAAAGGTGAAATGTTAATTAACATAGTTTATTATACCCATTACTTGCAATTCAGGAAAGACAAGGAAAAAAAATACCTAAAGGCCTTTTTAGCCACATCTGGAGTTCTCCTCATCGGTCTTCTGCATGAAATCATGGCAAAGCTGTATGTGGCCACTAGGGTTTGTTGGCCAGTTAACAGCTCTAATATGTGCAGTTTTAGCAGTTAGTTAGCAGGAGTTAATCAAAGTTGTTTTTTATAAAGGTTACTAAAAATGTTGTTTAGTAAGTGTGGCCATTATTTTCTTTTATTCCCTGTTTAACTCCTTTTTTTGACCCTGAATGAGAATAGCAATATTCTTCATGATTCTGATTAAATCCTTACCATGTGGAGAAAGCAATTTCAGTGAAATACCTCTTTTCATTCTTAATCAGCAATGTTTAAATTTATTTATGTATTTTTGCAGGTGTTAAACCAAAGAATCCGAATTGGTACATAGCTGGTATGAAAACATTTTCTTTTCTCACATCTTGAAGCATTGTAACTTGGAAATACAATTTAAGCCATTGGTAAAAATAAAATAACTAAAATATTCTGAGTTAAAAATTTACATTCAGGAACTCTGTAGGAACTTGTTGCTGCAGATCAAAATCTGCCACTCTTTTGTTTAGGAGCACTAAAACATCAGATACTACTTCGGTTAGGTAAAGGAATGTTCCCAGTAATAAGCACAGGAGTTTAATAACCTCTCCATCACATTAAAACTCCCTTTTTGCAAAGGCCGGGCAACTCTCTTAATGTTACTGCAGTATCACAGGATAGAATATTAAAAAAAAAATTTACTCATAGTGTATTTTTTTTCATAAATTGTTATATTAAATATGGTTCTGCATTTAGTTGTGGCATATTTGTCCTCTGACATGTGGCCGAAGGCAGGCCATGGGGGTCACAAAGGATGAGACTTGAAATGAGTTTTTACCTCTGCACACCACTGACTCTTTTGCTCGTTTTCTAGAACTGCCATGGTCATATTATCAAGGAGCGGAATATCTTTTCCATGTCAGTCCTGCGGACTGGGAAACCTATGAGTTTGTCTGTGGTTGGCTTCGCAGTGGAACGGCAACTATAAATTCTGCTGGTGAACAAGCCTTTATTCAAAATAAAATTAAGAAGGTAACAAAAACTACCCCTTTGAAAAAATAAACCCTCAGGCAGTAACTGGCTATTTTCTGCTGCATATTTTGGAATATCTGGCTGCCTGTTGCTCCAGCTAGAATCCGAAAGATGTTTTACTTTAGAAATAATGCTCTTGCTGTCTTCATTTCCCACAACCCTCCATGAATCCCTATTTAGCTAAAGAACTCGGTAACATTTCAGAATCTGCAGAATCATCTCTGCTAATGAGCAGGTCGGTCAGTCTGCCTCAAGAGATCCAAGTGGAGCAAAAACCAGTTTCCTATCCCAAAGTTATGAAAGTAATTAGGGGTAAAGAGAAAGGTTAGTTTCACATGTGGTCTACATCCTTCTCTGTTTCTTCTTCTTCCCCCACCCCTCCATGACCAAGGGGACCAATCATGGTTCCTCAGCATCCACCAGCGGTTCTGCATCCACCGGGATGTCTCCTGATCCCACACAGTTTCGCAGTTACGCTCTGTTCCCATTCAGTAACTTGCAGCTGGTTTTCAGGTAGCACTACCAAGGGACATTTCAGTGGGTATATTAGCATGAGGTGGGCAGTAAGTCCAGATGTTTGAAACAGTGTTCATAGTTTAAATCCTCAACGTGATGATTTGAAAGGTTACTCTTAGGGAGAGCTGGCCAAGAATGAAGAATTACAATTTCTCTGCACCTTAATTAAATTTAGAGCTCTAAACCATACAGGTGGGTGCTTATGACCTTGCAAAATAGATTACCTTTTCCTCTGTGTACGCCAGCTTGGGCAGCATTCCCATGTGTCCACACATTTGTATGATATCTCCTGAATTAAACCCCTTTGTGACTATGGATATTTATATGGGAAAAAAGACATCTGCCTCTAAATTCCCTCCTGTGGATGAAAGCAGAATTTCTGTGGAACCACTCTGATGTAACAAACAGATTTGAAACTGAGAAATAGCTGCAGCAGCAGCAGAATTCTCAGTAAAAGTGAAATAAGGAAAATACAAAAAGCAAACAAAAACAGTAAGAATATAATCTGCCTTACTGAGGGCAAAATTCTATGGCTGTAATATAAAGGAATATCACAGCGTAATCTTTAAAGAACAACTAGTGCTGAGTAGAAAAGCTCTCAACCGACACTCGCTTAGTTTTGCTTACATTGTGTACAGTCTTCTCTGCGTTTAACCTGTAATAGAAAGCGTAAGTAGAATTGTGTTGTATTAAGATGGGGTTTTTAAGTTTCCAAGGAATTACTCGTCATTTTTATCTGCTATGTAAGTAATTTTGTACCAGAACATGATGAACTGGATTTAAACCAACAGTTCATGGCAGAAATGGCTTATAATGAAAGAGCAACATAACTGGCTAGGCTGGCTTCTTCCACATCTACCGGAGATTGTGTTGTGATGTAATAACTGCCTTTCCTAAAACTGAATGTGTATGACTTAAAAAATTGCATAACTTTAAAAAAGATGTCTTTTTCCAACTTAAGAGCACTGAAAATGTCTAATCACAATGCTTCTTTAAAGTCACGTTTGCTTACAAGAGATCTTTTAAAAGCAGTTTTATCGTTAGAATTAGTGGGTACTAGAGCAGTTTGTGAGCATTCTGTGATGAAAAAGCCAAGTTTACTCCCTTGGCCTTGGAAATCAGGTTAACTTCCTTGAAGTTTTGTCTCAGAATATAACATATGTGGCTATTTTAAAGCCTGCTGCCTTTGGCTAAGCTTCCCAGTATAATCAGGTGTGTCCCTAAGTGATTGTAACCAGTTTCCTGTGGAAGCAGGAGTAAGGATGGCAATCACTAAAATAATACTTAGCAGTCTGAATAGACTTTGCACGTGTCATTAGAAAACTTGATCAAAATTTCTTAGCGTGGAATTTGAAATCACATTTTTCACTATTTCTTTTAAAACTGTAATGTGTAGGCTGAGTGCTGTGATTAGAAAACTAAACTCGGGGGCTAGGCAATACCAAATCAGACAGCATTCCTGAGTCTCTTCTTTGTCAGAAATGTCTATTTGCTTCATTTGCTATTGCTATATAAGCTGTAAGCTAGTGAAATCCTAACTATAACTCCAAGGACAGTGTGGCTGCCACAACACAGGCTGCACTTCAGTTCTTTCTGGGAAAAAAATAAAATGCTTCTCAGAGTTAGGGTGGCTTTTCCAGTGTCCTGCACATTCACAACTTTGTTGTTGTTGTTGGCCCTTTCCCAAAGCCCCCAAAACTGTGACTCTTGCGTGGCTAACCCTGAAGGTGAAGCCCATTCATAGTTTAAGGCAGAATCAAGTCAGCACAGCAATAATGAAATGGCTGTTTGAATTACATTGTTTCTGTGACTTTTCCATAATACTTTGCCTTTTAGGAGTGGAGGTCTAGACCGTTTCATCAGAACAACAATCAGCCTGGAAAGAATTTCTAGGAATCTCTTGTATGAGCCACACAAAGTCAGTAAACGTTCGTAGAAAATATTTTGGAAACAGTAAGGACCAGGCCCTCCATGCTAAAAGGAAATATTTGCTATTGTCTATTTTTAGGACTTGGGGAAAACCAAATTCTGGCCTAAGACTGCAGTCATTTTCAAGCCAGATAGGCTGTAAATTCCTAAAATTATAAATTCCTAATTTACAGAAGATACATCAGTAATCCAGTGGAAACTGGGGGCTAAATCATGCTCTACTTACATGAACAACCTTACTGAAGTGACATAAATTAACATGGGCAGGATTTAGCACCTGTTCTTCCCATTGGAACCCAATGGAGATGCTGTTCATCTGAATACAGAGCCTGATTTTAGGCATTTGTTAATGTTTTAATAAGGAGTGCAAAAACAGTTAAACATATGGCAAAACATTTTTTTTTTTAATAGCTATCGAATAGTGATGTTCACTGGTGGATTGGATTGCACACAGAAAACCTCCATGATGAATTTCGGTAAGAGTGCCTACGCTTCAGCTGCTCTGTTTACAGGCTGCCATTCAGTCTGATGGGCTAAAACGGTTAGATGACTGAGTGGGATATTCAAGAGACAACTTCAGTTCTCATATAAATATCATTCACAATATATTACCCTTCATTTAGCTCCATGTTACAGTATTTCTTCGAAAGGGGTATAAAAGATACATGAATATTAACCTTGTGGTTGTCTGGGGTTTTTTTTAAAGTTTAGTTAATAAAGGGGTACTTTCTACCCTGTATCTGCTCAGAAACACTTTTAATGAAGATTGTATTTTTAGGTAAGGATAGGAAAAAGTGTAACTACACTCTTTAACATTTCTGTGCAGCTGGAGAGATGAATCACCAATAACATATCAGAACTGGAATGAAGGGAGGGAGAGAGATCCACAGAAACCAGGGAAAAGATGTGGCTTCATTTCATCACAAACAGGTTTATTTTATTTTTCCTTTTGTTGCGGGAGTTGTGACTTGATTCTGTTGTTGGCCAAAGAAGTTATATTTTAATTGCTTTCAAGAAATGCAATCCATATTACATGGTCCTGTATTACATAGTCCTGTCACATGGTTATAATTTGCATAACTGCTTTTATGGTTAAGAATATTAAAATATCATGAATATGCGCAGAGACTAGGTTATAGGATTTAATAGTTCCAGTACTCTAATGTCAAAATATAAACATTCCAGTGATACTGAATCTTTAGTTTTACTTAAGGATCTGTTATGTGGCACAGCAAAAATGTTACCGCATTGCTGGTTTTCACAGTCAGTTTTCTCATAACCAAATGAGCCAGATGGACGAGCAATAGTTTTTCCTACATTTATAAACTGTTTTCCTATCAGCACACAACTTTAAATACTCAGACTTCTAGCTTATTTTTGATCCCATAGCCAATCTGTTGAGGGATTTTTGGGTACCATGTTTTTGGTGCTAGCCTTTACATCATCCCAGAGCTCTATATTTTGCTACAGTAATAAAAAAAAACGACAGTGCTGCTGCTTCCAGTGATTTCTGTCATCTCACAGTCTCTGTTCTCTGAAGATCTGCAAGTCATAGTAAACTGTCAGGTTCCACAGAAAGAAAAAATATTCAGCTTTGTATTTGTGAGAAGGGCTGACAAAAATTAATCCAGTTGCACTCTTGTAATCTCAGCCTCAAAAGGCAAAACTGATAAAATGTAAAACCTTCTTTTTTTCCACACATAATCTCGGGGTTTCGATTCATGACTTTCGAGTGCTCGAGTTTGGCGTTGCTATAGTTAGTATCGGGTAAAAGGAAGAGACGCCCACCCTCCCCCCTCAGCTGGCCAGCAGATGGGAGCTGGTCAACAACTTGTTGAGTGCATAGTGTTCCACTGAAAAATGTACTTTCCTCCTAGGCAGGCCAGTGTTTTATGTCAGTACCTGGATCTTGCCAAAAATTTTCAATGTAAGGAAGTCAAACTATTTTATCTGGAAGGCATCATTTCTATACCTTTCCTTTTTTTTTGCATAACTAATATTTTTTTACATACATGATGATATAGGCATATGTTATGTGACTCAGTGTAGAGGAATTGGTTTAACTTAATAAAAGCGAACTGGGAACAAAGGTATGAGCCCCATGGACCATCAAACCCACTGTAATGCAATATGTCCAAATGGTGTAGAATCTCATCTTACTCAACCACGAAGGGGTACCTTTCTTAACAATATCTAAGCTAGCTAAGAAAAAAACTCTTTCCAATTCTCAAGCCAATATTGAACTGTGATTTTTCTTTTCACACAGGACTCTGGGGTGATGAAAACTGTACTGTCTCTCTTCCCTGTATTTGTAAACGTAAACTTGCATGGAAAATAGAGAAAGAGATTCCAAAAGACCAGAACCAACAAGGAATGTGTCCCAAAGGCTGGTTGCACTTTGGATTCAAAGTAAAACATTTTTTTCTGCTGTTTGATTATTCAAAATGCCTTCCATATTTATGACAGAAATTGGACTTCTTAAGGATTATTCAACATTTGAAGATTTTCTTCCTTTTTGAAAGCAGGGCCCTTAGGTTTATAACTACTGACAGTGATACAAAGGTTTACAGCTATTAAGTAGCTTTGCACACAGAAGTTGTCTTAATAAGGTGTCAAAAATTTTACTTTAGTTGAAGGAAATGAATACTCATATATGCAAAAGCTATCTAAGTGTATTTCTGTTTTTGCTGTAAAAAAGCCTGTTCCATCCTCTCTTTTCCACTTGCGACAATTCCAAGAGTCTTGTATGGTCTCAAAACAGATCTCTGACCCCTAGTTGTACTAAATGGTCCCTAACTGCTGTCATTCTCCAAAAGATGCTGTTTCAAATAGCGTTCATCAAAGATAATTGTAAACCAAAGTCTAGTTTCAACTGAAGGTCAAAAGGCAATTATTTCATCAGGCTTCGCTTAAATACGTACGTTCTGTAATAGCAACATGCATTGAGGTGGCTGGATTTATCCCAGTGCTAAACTGCAGTGACTACAAGGATTAATTTAACCCAGATTGTGTTTGCCTTTAAACAACTGATTCGAATCCAAGCCTGATTGCAGCTGAAAACTGATACCAAGCATGTTGGAGAGGTCCATTGCAGGACAGAAACTAATGAAATATTTAGTTTTCAGTAACAGCGTGTGAAATGTTTTAGTGATCACTCTTAGTGATTGATAGGTTATAAACTGGAGAAAAGACAAAACAAGCCTTTTTTTTTTTTTTTTTTTTAAAAACAGTGCTTTTTGATACAAATTCCAAAGGATCCAGAGCATCTGAGAAGCTGGTACTCTGCACAAGAGTTCTGCAGTAGCTATGATGGGTCACTCGCTTCCCTCGAAGATGAACTAGAACAAGGTAGAGTACTGAAAATATTGTTAAATAAATAAAATTTCGTCTTCATTAGGATGCTGTAGTAAAGTTTCATCTTGGACACAGATTTAGGAAAAAAAGATCGCTCAGATCCTACTCATGGTTCCACTGCTTTAAACAAATGAGTGTTTCTCTTTCCCAGTTTCCCAAAATGTAGAGATTCAAATATCCACTGAGCTATATGACAGGTACATTTTCAAGAGTAATTATAATTTATTTTGTGCTCACTACCATGCATTAGAAATACAAAAAAATAAAGGAATACCCATTTAAAAATTTGCTATGTAAAATTTCTGTATCTTGTGAATGCAGCATCACACTGTTATAAAAGCAATCTGATTTTTATCCTTTAATAGTGCTTAAAATCTGGTCTATAGTATAGCACATAAGCATAGTGCTAGGCTAGAACTGTCAGAGGAATAAATGCCAGCACATTTGGAAATATATTTAATCCCCGTTCATAAAAACCTGTGAGTGAATTTCTTACATTTGTAAAACCACTTATTTGGAGGTGGGAGGAATCTCGCTGGCTATCTTTAGTTGAGAAATCTTATTTTCAACTGAAACTGAGAAAAGCTTTTTCAGTGGGACAGTACCCTGAACTAATACTTAAGTTGTTCAAGCTGCTATGAACATTTCTGGAAGACTTACTAGTTAATGGACTAGATTCTAACCCAACTGAAGTTAATCAATTTAACTGAATTTATAGTTAGATGATACTGAAATGCCGCTCATGTTCTTACTTGCTGGTAGCTGTGTAATGTCATTGATTAGTAATTAATTTTTTCAGTGCTTTAGTGTGTTGGAAGAGACTTCATCTATCCCTAAATGGTTACCAGTTATTTATATTTTATTCCTGTTTCATTTTCCAGCTTTCATAACAATGAATCTATTTGGACAGAAAACTAGCGTTTGGATAGGTTTGGATAGTGGTGATTACGAAAAATGGGTGAATGAAAAACCTTCGATATATTCCAACTGGTCTCCAGTTGAAGTAGTGGATGTGAGTATTTCCAGGGGGTTTAAGGACAGTGAGAAGTTGGTTTATCTATAAAACTTGTGACTGCCACAAAGACAAGGCCTAACTTGTTACAGCAACTTAATCTTCCCTTAATTTGTGCAACTTCAAACAACTGTGGGCACAGATTTATGGGCATAACTAGAGGTAGCAAAAAAGGCACTACTGAGACAATTTTATTTACATAATTTGTGGCTATAGTCACATTCTCTTGCAATTGCTTTTAAGCACCAGTTAGAATTACACAGTGTCATATGCTGGGTCTGAGCAAAGTTTAGGAATAAGATAATGAATTTCGTATTTTAATATATTGTTTTACACCACGTTAGTCCATATTGGGCTTAGCATTTTAGTTTGTTCAGTGAAAGCTTGTGACTTTTTTATTATGAGGTTATTGTTTCAAATTTTATTTATGGGAATGTTCATTGTTCTACCTAAATATTTATAATAGTGACTGTCAGATAATTATTCTTCTAAATTTAATGTAATAATTACGCATTGCTTTTACACGGTGTCTTTTTAAATTAATATAAGGTTCTGTGTTGATTGCAGAGACAGCGTTATAACAGTGCAAACATTCAAGAACAACTTCCACTATGCACATTGGTATCAAATAACCCTAATTTTTATTTTACGGGAAAATGGTACTTGGAAAACTGTCAGAAAAATTATGGGTTTATCTGCCAAAAGACTCAGGGTAAGGTTTTGTTTTGCTTTGCTTCTGTTCTCTTTTCTTACTATATATTGAATTCATCTTTCTTTATTTTCTTCTAGAAGCAGCTTGTTATAGGTGTCTATAAAACGAGGAACGTAAAAGATTTCTAAGATAGTTTACACTCTACACTATTTAATATTCAGTAGCTGTGATGTAGAAGTAATTTCTAAAAAAAATATTTTGTTATTACATTTTCTTCCTAACTTTGAGCTTTCTGTTGCATATCTTAGATTCAGGAATAGAGATGAAATTTCATGTTTTCTGCCACGGCAAGCAGAGTAACAGCATGAAATGACAAAAGGCAAAACTGAGGGTAATTTTGATGAAAATATGATGGGGGATGGGTGGGACTTGCCCTATTAGATCAGACTAGACTCTAGAAAATGTATTTCTGTGAGCAGTGCAGACCAATTGGCCGATCAAATAGAGTTAGGTTTTTCTTTTCACGCTTCTCTAATTCTGTGACCATAATGTTCACCGGCCAGAAGCACAGAGCTTTTGTGGGGAACGTGTGGTGTTTGGTTTCCTCAAGCCACATTCCGGCGTTGCCTCTGGGACTGGGAGCCGCTGGCATCCCCAGGGTGCTCGGGCAGCTTTGGAGCCCTGTCCCAGGGGCTGCTGCAGCTCTGCCAGCGGGAAGCTGCCAGAGCATGTTACCAAAATAGACCAGCAGCAAATTATTAATCCTAAAGCCAAGGGAGGGCTGTAATCTGAGCCTGTAAGGAGTGTCCTTGGGTGCTGTACTTACTGCGGGGGTGGTTTTATATGGCTCAGCTTTATATATCACCTCTTAGTTAAGCCCTGGGTCTAAAGAGACAATTCTCTCCTGCTGGCTGCTCAGGAGGTGAGGGAGGGTGAGGCCAGAAGTAGAAAAAACAAGTACAAGCTTTGGGCAGTGCTCACATGTGGCTCTAGCAAACCATAGCTGTATTTGACATCATTTATTATGAACTACAGTTGCCGGGAGTGCTGGAGTAATCGTGCACACAGCGTAGGAAAAATAAATAAATGCATTTTCCTGCTGTTTTGTTTCATTTACCTCCTGAACGTTTGTATTTTAACCCCTTGCTGCTGCTTCAGACAGATGGAAAAGGCTCTAAAAGGCAGGAAGGAAAACTGTTGCTTTAGGGCGGCCACGCTGCAGGGCGCCTGGCGGGGACTGGGGCTGCACTGGGCGCTCAGCACCCTCCCCACATTTCCCAGCCGGGTGAATGTGAGCGTGACCCGTGGGCCCCGGCCGAAGCGCGGTGGGGATGGGGGGGACACGCTGTGCCCCGGGCTCAGTGCTGCCCGCCTGCCCCACGCGCAGCAGAGTGCTCCTGGGGGTGAAGGGACCAGTCCTGCCTCCCCTGTGTGACACCCGTGGCACTCTCCCAAACCATCAGGCAGTTCCGCTTGCTAATTCAGCAGAAAATTTTCCTGTCTCTTTTTTTTCCCTTCCCCCTCCCCCCCAATTGATGTCACTTTGTGCAGCTTTCCCAGGCTGCATCGGCTCAGTGCAGGGTCAGGCAAACACCAGACCTGTGCATGGGAATATGCAGCTGGAAGAGCGGAGAAGCAAGGAAGGGAGAAGCGAGACGGCCCCTTGCTGGCAGTGGTGAACTGCTAAATTTCCTCAAACGTCCAAACAAATGTGTCAATTCCTGGAAAGATGAGCTAGTGCTTTGCTTCTGCCATCCTGTCCGCATCCTGTCTCCCTTTTTTTGAATTATTTTCTGTAGGAGACTAAAATGAAGTAAATCAGCAGGAGATCTGAACTGGGCTCTGATCTCTTAGTGATGCCTGAGTTAGGATTGTGTCAGCATTTTATTGCATTTCCTGCCTTTTCTTTTTTTAACCAGTGACACACACTGAAAGCTGGAATAAAATAGAGTGCTTCAGTTAGCTCAAGAGCAGAACTTTTTCTTGCTTAGAAATTTCTAATTTTAAATGATTTGTGGATGACAAATGATAAATTAACTTACTATTTTAAGATGCTTGTTAACACTCCTCCTCTCTTAGTCATAAAGGGAACCAAGTCTAAAAGCACGTCACCTCATAGCAAAGCAACCACTTTGTAATCACAGAGAAGTTTTACAGACAGAAGTAACTAATCCAGACACAAACAGGATTAAAACTGAGGCATTGCTTTATTTTAGTAGTCTTGTTTGAAGTATACTGTGGGCATTCATACACATTAGCAAAGGCATTTGCCTCCTGCAGAAAAGCGAGCACGGCAGCATCACAGACTGTGCTGGGGTGAAGATGGTCTCTGTCTCCTGATTTTTTTCTTATGGGGGACTCTCTATTTCTTAAATCTAAAAAGTCTGCTTCTTCCTTTCGTTTTTTTGGACATTGCTCTGTTAGTTTATCATCAAAAAGAGATTTGAGTCTCCATGCGCAGAGGATTTCTCTTTAAGTGCCAGTACTGTGATCTTCCCTGCGTTGGCTCATGGATAGTAAAGGTGAGCTCAAGAAGCTCCCAAGCACTTCCTTCTACCATGAGCCCCAGTTTGCCATCCCCTGAGTTGTGCCAATACAATTATTTGTGAAGCCAGACTTTGTGCTGTAAACTGATCTTGGAAATTATTAAAAATAATGGGTCAAAAAAGAGGTAATCTAAATTACGTGCAAGGTATCTGGGATAAGAGCACTCCGCAGCCCACTGCTATTGGACATCTGGGATATGCCCAGGTCCCAGGTGGTTTCTTACTGACCTTCAAAGATCCAGTGAGTGGAACTAACTCCATCCAGGTTTTCTTTTTTTTGTTATACATTAAACTCTTTCGCTCCTGTGATGAGTTTTGTGCTGTGGTGGAATTTCAGATACTGTTCTAGTAGTCATCATCTTTTTCTTTTTAAAGTTCTCAGTGCCTTTCTGAAACCAAAGAGTTTGCAATTTTTAGATTTGTTTTTAAGAATAGTTCTGATTTTTTAGGAGCTGTTATGCTATGTTCAAGCTGCCTGTTTAAAAAAATAAAGAAATCCTTTCTTGCTGTTTATAACAGACACATCCAGACATGTCATCAATGCATCTGAAATGTACCCTGTGCCAGATACTTTAGAATATGGAAACAGAACGTATAAACTGTTACGTGGGAATTTTACATGGTCCTCAGCTTTAAAAACCTGCATGGCAAATGGGGCGGAGTTGGTCAGCATCACAGACCGGTATCACCAAGCTTTCCTCACGGTCATTGTGAATCGGCTGGGATACAACCACTGGATCGGGCTGTTCACTTCGGATGTACGTAGTGGATTCCCTGGCTACGAATATGATGCTGCAAAGGAGTTTTTCCAGTAACAAGCTAATGAGCTGTGTCACTCCTTTGAAGTCACAGGAAGTTTGCATCTGGAAATGAAACCCTGGAAAGCTTGAGCCCTAACCATTTTAATGTATAAAACTAATGAGAGCCACTTCAGTGCAATGACTACTGAAAGCTAAAAGCCATAGAAAACATTTTAAAATACACAAAAAATCTCTTGTAGTGTCAACATTGAAATCATGTTGTTTCATTTTTAGTTGCTCAATGGCCCAAATAACCACTTGCTGAAAACAGCAGGTTAGATGTAGTTTGTGGTCTCCCAGAAGTAAGTTGGGAGGATCCTTGGATCTGGCTTTTGTAGATCCTTCTGGATCCACCCAGACTTCGGAAAAGTAAAAGACATTCTGTAATACCTGGTGAGGATGCCACCGGAAGAAGATGAACTTGTATGGTGCTAAAGCATATCAGAAAGATAATCTGAAATTTGTTTTGGCAGAACGGGCTTAACTTTGAATGGTCGGATGGGACTAGGTCTTTGTTTACCTTCTGGGAAGACGACGAGTCCCAGGCCTTTGGCAGCTGTGTTTACATTGATACTTCGGGGCACTGGAAAAGTGCTAACTGCGAGCGACTTCTGCAAGGAGCAGCTTGCCATGTGCCACCTAGTAAGTCAGAGTTAAGTTTTATATTAAATTTTTGCAGCTGCAAATGTGTGTATTGACAGTGGAAGTATATGAAAGGAAATTAATTGGTTTGAGGTTAAGCAATGATGATAGTGTTATTCAGAATTGAAGTGGATTTCTGGCATTTCCTTCCCGTCTCTCTTCTTTGTGAAACCAATTTTTCCCCATAAAATATTGGCCATCAGGTCTGGTCTGTAGGAGAATGCAAAGAGAACTTTCATAATAGAAAACAAACAGGAAAATTACTTACTCTGTCTCTTCAGTGAACACTATATTATCTGTGAAAAATGATGATCGCTAATAACCTAGCTTGAAGGGAAATAAATTCAGTTTGCTGCAATTACCTGTGGGATGGGAGAAGGGAAGCATTTAGAGCAAAGTGAAAAATCAGAATCACATCTTCACTGATTGCCTATAAAAGATTTTGCAACTTTTTTTTTTTAAAGATAAGAATATTTTCCTGTATCCTAAAATAAGTTGTGTTTCCTGCAATGACCTGTCAATTACCTGGGCTTCATTTGAATCCAGAATTCAGGTCTGGAGCTCCATTCAGTCCAGGACTGCAGAGTCTTTTGCAGCATCCAGTTCTCAAAATACTTCCCATCTGGTGGTACTGATCACCAGGGGTTCACCTACAGCTTATTGTAGTTTTTGCATCTGTTGAGAAGAAAGCTGTTTTGGAATCCTTCAAGACAAAAATTATTCTCTAGCATGATTTTTGTAGCGAAGCTGACTAATTTTCTGATTTGTTTGTCAAGTTATGTAATCATATATAGCCTAAGGTTTACTTAATTTTTAAAAGTTGTATTTTGCAGCAAAGTAGGACGCCTGTGAGACCATAGGTGACAGCTGAACCTACAGCACTGCCAAAAAGTGATGCAGGGTATTGCAAAGTGAGCTTGTAGAGCTGCCCTGAGTCAGAGGGACTCTTTGCTGCAGCACGTTGCACGCCGGAGAGGCTGGCTGCTGCTTACCGATGGGAGGCTCTCCTCTGTGCCGTGGTATTTGGCATTAAGTTGTCTTTGTGGCTTAGTGGAGAGAAGCTCTGCAGCCCTTGGAAATCCCCAGCCCTCTGGGAGATGCTGGGCAGCCCGGAGTGCTCTGATGTGCCCGTAGTTTCCTTATAACTCCCTGTGCACATCAATTTTCATTAGATTGTCCCGATATTGCTGTTGCAATCTGGCAAAGTTTTTCATCAGAAACAAAATCAGCTTTACTGTTCTAGTACAAATATATACAACCACTAGATTTTCACTTTGAAAAACAGAGGCATAACGCAATAACATGCTTATTAGCATTACTCCAAAACAGTGTGTGGAATGTTATATTAATGTGTATGTTGTTGTGCCAATAAAGCTGTGCTGTTATTTCTATCACAGAAAAGAAACTCTCTGCCTATAAAGGCTTATGTTCAGAAAAAAATGTTCCCTGGATCAAATTCAAAAACAGTTGCTACAGCTTTTCCACAGTTCTGCAGGGCACAAGTTTTGATACTGCCTATGAAGTCTGCAAAAATCAAGGTAAGTTATTATTCTGTAGCTACAAAATGTCATTGTAATATCTTAAAAAATATATATTCTCTGAAATGACTGAAATCATGGCATGTGTTTTCTCTAGTTCAAGATCACGATAGTGGAGCTCATAAGCCAACTATGAAATTGGAGGCAACATACTTCAAAAAAAGGTTCCTTGCCATGTGAAAATATTGATTTCTGGAATAACACATAAAATGCATTTCTTTCCCTTCAAATTTGTTTTAAAATCATGTGAGAACAGTTTTATATCAGCCTAGGCATTTTCATATTAACTGCAAATTTAAGAACTTACAACACATAACCAGACTTTTTAAGCTTTTCAATTAAGGCTCATAATATTAAGTTTTTGAAATGCAATGTTACAGTTTAATGGCATGGATTGTTTGAAAATTCATTCTGTGTTTAATCCGTAGGATCAAATCTCCTAACTATTCAAGATGAAGATGAAAATGCTTTCATTCTGGAAGAATTGCACAGTTTTGGTTATTCTGTGCAAATGGTTTGGTTGAACATCCTGCTTGTTACAGATAGTAAGTTTTGGGTGGAAGAGAACTGCGTGTAAGCATCTGGTTTGGGTTTTCGTTTGGTTTTTATTTGAATGCTGGTGTAACCATCTTCTAAAACACTTGTTATCTTTTGAGATTTTTTTCGCTGCCTATTACCTGTTTATGATGTAGTAAAACCAGTCAAGCTTTCTGTAATCGTTACTTATTAGTATTCTGAATACTCAGTACGTATGCATATTATGGGAATGCCTTTATTTTCTTCTTAGAGAAGCACTACAGGCTGTCTTCTGTGTCAACTACATAGGATATTTTTAAATCCTTAAAAAAAAAGTAATATAGTGGCCAAACAGACAAAATTCTGGCATTCTTTAATTCAATATTTATTTATGTGAGGGTAAGTCCAACTGAAACAGAGATAATTATCAAAACACTATGGTATTTTATAATGATTTATAACTTCTGCCCTTAGATGAGACAATCTCCTGGTTTGACGGCTCTCCCTTAAATTATTCTAACTGGGGCATCAGGGAGCCTGAATTTGATCATCTCAAAGGGAATTTCTGTATCAGTCTGAGGACCACAGATGGAGTCTGGCATTTATCTCCATGCAGAGAAAAAAAGGGATTTGTGTGTAAAATGGATGCAGGTATGTTCTTCCATAAAAGGCAATTGTGTCCTTTTAACCATTATTTTATGTGTTCCTTGTCACTTGCTTACTTGCTTTTAGTTTTCATTTAAATAATTCTGTCCCTTGGTATTAGAAAAAATACCTGTGAAAAACCCAGCCAGCCAGGGTAACCTTCTGTCGAGGAACCTGGGCAGCCGCTGCGTTATTGCCGACTGTGGTAGACTTTCTGCTGTGTGGGTGAGCCATGTGCAGAGAATTATAGAGTCATAGAATACCAGGTTGGAAGGGACCTCAAGGATCATCTGGTGCAACCTTTCTTGGCAACAGCATGGTCTAGCCAAGATGGCCCAACACCCTGTCCAGCCGAATCTTCAAAGTGTCCAATGTTGGGGAATCCAGCACTTCCCTAGGGAGATTATTCCAATGGCTGATTGTTTTCATTGTGAAAAATTTTCCTCTTGTGTCCAATTGGAATCTCCCCAGGAGTAACTTGTACCCATTACCCCTGGTCTTTTCCATGTGACTCCTTGTAAAAAGGGAGTCCCCATCTTCCTTGTAGCCACCCTTTAAATACTGGAACATGGTGATAAGGTCTTCCCTAAGCCTTCTTTTCTCAAGGCTGAACAAACCCAGTTCTCTCGGGCTTTCTTCATATGGCAGAGCATCAGGCTGACCTCCACAGACCCCGTAGGACAGGCAGGCGCAGCCTGGGAGAGCTGCACAGACACCACGTCGGTAGGAATGTGGGTCTGCGAGAGAGCTGAAGTGCTCTGAGAACCCACCCGACATGCCCGAGTCGCTGCTGGACTCAACGGCTAGATTAATCTACCACTGCACAGATCCGCTCATGCATTTGCACTTTCAAAAGTAGATAAATGCTCCTGCTCATCCTTGCACAAATATCAATTAATATATTCCACCAAATTTAAGGGATTTTAGATAACAGCTTAGGTCATGTTTAACTTGGCCAGTTGGAATCCCATTGTTATGAGTAAAGTTAAAGAACAGCCTGCTCTAGTATGGTTTTAGGTGGATTGCCTTCTCAGTATCAGTTTTACCATGACTACATACATCGTAACTTTTCCTAGCTCTATGGGTAATTCTATGACCATTCTGGATTCTATTTCAGATATCAATGCAACAGAACCCTCTGCAAAATGTAAGTTTCTTCTGTACTTTCTTAATATTTTTTTATAAGTAGTAATAACACATTTTGAGCCAATATTTTGTGAGGTAACATTTGTCACTGTTAAACCTGTAATTTAAAATGTGTGACGTATAAGGGGTAATAATATGTTTTCCATAGAACATGTATATGTTTATATTTAGAATTATATACAATTATAAATATATTTGCTTAATAACAGTTTCTGTCCTTCCCCTTCAGCATCATACCGTGGGCTTGCAGCTCTGGCCGTTCTCGTGACCTTGGTGATGCTGGGTGCCATTTCCCTTTTTCTGTGGTGCCTGTACAAACAGAATAACCAACTCTTCCGCAGGATACTGTGGGTCAGAAACGCCTATTTGCCACAGATCAATGCTGACGTTCCTGCTTTGGAAGAAAGCATCCTCATTTCTGATTTTGAGAGAAGCGACAATTAATTGATCAGAAGTAGCAAGTGATCACATCTTCCGTGTGAAACTCCACAATCTACAGCAGTTTTCTCTTTCTCGGGAGTCCCCCGGGGAACCCACATCCAGAGAAACCCTGGCAGCCATCGGTATGAATGCCATAGGGGCTCCCTACCTTGGAGCACTTTTGCTTTGTGGCAGGATGAGGTGAGGATGCATGGCAGAACCGTGGAGAAATTAGCTCCTTTGGGACAAGCCAGGAACTGAAAATGATACCACACCATAAACCTCCAACCACTCACATGGAACTGTCATGTCCGAGGCCCCAGAGCAGTGGGCGTTTTCATGCAGCTTTTTCCTCCGGGAACATTTGGGCTTTTGTTTTTTTGTTTTTATACGTCGCAGAATCTGCTCATGAGCCAGCGTTAAGATTTGGCCTTGAATTTAGGAACTCTGAAACATATTCCAAGGATGATGGGGTTGATTTTTTTCTTAATAGCCATTCCTTCTGCAAAATGAACAGTTATTTTTCAGACAGTGGATTCTTGCCAGGTGGATTTCCAAGCTCACAGAGAGATGAAGTCACTTTTGACTTGGGAGTGCCAGAGTTTTGGTAGTTTGGCCCATGATGGTTCACATTATAAAATAAATTAGTCTAGAGATACAATGACATATGGACTTTGTCATCCTGAAGTTCATATATTCATTTGAGATGCGTCTAGCATCTAGTTAAAGATTTAACTATGTGATCTCTCACCTAGCTTATTTCAGAAATTGAATCCCACCAACCTCTTTTAATGACATTTTTGGGCAATATCTGTTCGAAGAGAAAAAACTGTTATAAATCTTGCTGAAGTTATGGTAATAAATTGCTTTACTGTTCACCTACTGTATTTCTGCAAGCAGTATTCATGTATGCTGTTCTGAGACCTTGCTCTCAAAAGCTAAGGACGATACATAGGGGAGCCACATTGCTGTTCCCAACAGGTGCTATAGTCCTATAACCCCATGTAGCAGACCCTCAGAAGGACACTTTTCACTTTCAGTGCTCATACTAAGGTGCTAACGAAGGAGATGAATTTCACTGACCAGTTGTTCTGCAGGCTGATGGTTGTGAAAGACCCAGCTCAGGTCTCTGCACTACCTCAGTTACAGTGGCCCAGGACAGCAACGCTTACTCTCTGTGGGACGCCCTCCACCCTAACCAGTCCTCCAGCCACGTCTCTGAAAATACCCGGAAGGTTTGGGGGGATTTTTAAATTTTTATCGCATCATGGAAAAACCAATGGTTAGTCACGATGAGTTACTTCAGAATGGATTTACTGTGCCTTCAGTCATCTCTAAAAGCTCCTGCGAAGGGCTGCGTTTGTTGTTGGGTTTGTTGGTTTGTTTGTTTTAAGATGACTCATTCTAACAATTTTGCAAGAGCACTAAGATGGAGGTATGTTCCTGAGAATTAAGCAAGCAGCTAAGGCCAGCTGAAATGTTTTTACATAGTATTTGTGCACACGCACAGGAATGTATGACTGCCTTCCAGTTAGATTTCACATGGCCAGTTCTAGAAACATTGCAAAAATTGTCTGTTCATGTCATAATTATGTATAGGGCTATTTTAAAAAATTATTTAGTACATAGAATATTTCTCTGCTGGTTTACAGAACCGTTCAAAAATGTTGTCAAAGAGGCTGCAGCTGGTTTTGATCCCAATATCATCTTCAACTTACTGTTGTCAATAACTTCTGTGGGTGTAGCTATCACAAGTTCTTAATCTGAGATTTTTCCATGATATAAAATATAAATAGCTTTTCTGTGTGTAATTTGTCTAATGGTTTGACCCCATACATTAGTCTTCAGTAATGTTTTTAAAGTTTGTTCTTAGTCCTGTAGATTTACCTATGGGACTGTTTTTATGTGAAGTCCACTATTAGAGTTGGTGGACTGCAACTTTTGAGTACAATTGCCAGATCATCTGCTGTTCATATGTATGAACTGTGATAGCTTCTTTACCACAAAAAAGAAAAAAAGAAGAAAAAAAGTTGTGCCCATCTCTCCCTTCCCCATGAGAATTTCACCTATTTAAACTACAGTTGGACGAACTTATACCAACAAACCCCCTTCATCAAACCCCTGACAAGTGTAATTGCTGCCTTCTTACAGCAAGCAGAGTGGCTTGTAGGATGGATTTTGTTTGCAAGAGTAAGCTGCGTTGTGTCCGAGGACGTGTATTTATCAGGCTGCTGTGCTGTTACCGAGTTATGAAGACTCTTTTCAGATTTTGATGTGGTTAATGAGGGTGTATGGTTTTTTTCACAAAACTTGACATAGGCATTTTATCAATTTTCCTTGAGGTATGTGGCAATCATTTAAATCTGTTTGAAGGGCAGTGGTATAATAAACAGCCCTAACCTCAAACCAGTGATCGTTGATTAACATCGACTCTGATGTACATGATCTTGCACTAAGGGAAAAAAAGTTCAGGCAGCGTTTTCTTCATACTTTGAAATGGTTTTGAGGGAACAGACCCTTAAATATTTATTTTTAAACCCTTCATCATTTAACTTTTATAATTGCAGGTATTCACTCGAGAATGTAATCGTTGATTGCTTTCTAGTCCTTGTTCTGGATTTTGTTACCATAGCTTTTGTTTGTTTTCCCTTAATCAGGGGTCTCCTATACTATTCCTGATCAGAGTATGTGGTGACTATGTTTTTACTGCTGACCTTGATGATACTGGCAGCCAGGTTCACTGTATTATTTCAACTGGAAAATTAAAGTGTGAATAATAATTTTCTGTGTTGCAATTTTTATTGAATCTTTCCCCAGCTTTAATTAGCTGCCAGGCTTCAGTGTCTCGTAACAGCAGTTCCTAGGCTTTGCACCAGGTCATCCTGGTAGGAGAGGGACAGCTTGCACCTCACTCCTGGCTGCATGGCTGGACCCAGAGCTGGGTACTGCAGACGGTCTCAACACGTGTGGTGGCTCCAGTGTTTCCCAGAGCATGGACGAGGATGCCCTGGGACCTGTGTGCAGGAGGTGCTGGGAGGGGGAAGGAGCCGCAGCACCATCGGTGAGGATGATGGATGGGAGCGTGGTGCTGATGCACAGACATTCTCCCGGCCCATTGCCCGTTCCCTGCAGCCCTGGGAGCGCAGTAGCTTCCATGGTAGCACTGAAATAATAATGCCCGTGTCCAAGAACTGGGTTCACCAGAGCCTGAGCAAGCAAATGAATGTTGTGTTTTCCTCTGCTGTGCCAGCTTCTTTGAACGTGTTTACTGAAAGGGAAGTGTTAGATGGTTTCGTACCACTCCTTTGCTTGGGGGATGGAAGGGTATCCCCACCAGAGATAGATACTTTCAGGCCAACATAAGACAAACCTTGTCTACCAGGATTTAGAAAAAAATCTGTGTGCTTATTTTTGCAGACTGCATTCCAGGACAAAATTTACCTCCTGGTCCCTTTAGCAGTCCTTGCAGCATGTCTTTGAGGGACAGAGATGCCTGATGCAGCCGTCACATCCCAGCTGGAGGGGAGTCTGCAATGGGAACATACGTATGCTGGTGACATCCCGCATGACCGGGCAGAGCGAAGGGTTGTGGCCCAAGGCTGTAAGTGGGCAACATGACTCTTAAGCAAAGCCCTTTCCAGCTGTGCCTCTCCTGGGTGCAGTGCTGCCATTCCTTGTGCAGGGAGCCTCCTCCCTTCTCTCCTTCTCCCTTCCCCTGCCTTTGTGCACACACACTTTCGTGGCTGCGTCACAACGAGAGAGGAGCTGTGAGGCTACTTGAAATCTGTGCAGTACAGTCTGGAGGGAGTGTAGGGTACTTGAAATCTGTGCAGTACAGTCTGGAGGGAGGGGAGGGAAAAAGTAGTTTTTTGCACACTCTGCAAGACTTGACCAGCACCATCCAGGGCAGAATTGCAAACTCCTGTTTAATTTAGCCTCCTACTTTTTTCTTCCACCGTCTTGCCCTTCCCTTAGTGTAGTAACAGGCATCCTTAGTCTCTTGCAATAATAAACGCACTGTAATGAAATCCGTGGCATACCCTTCCTTCAGGGCATTTATATATAAGCAAAACTTTTTGATTAGAAGCTAAATCGCACACATTCAGCAACTGGGCTCTAAATCCTGAGCTAAAAAAAAAAAAAAAAAAAAAAAAAAAGAGGCCTCTTTTTGAGCTACAATAATATTTCCTTTGGTAATCAGTGGAATGTTGATTTTAAGCCCCTGCAGGCCAGCACAATCTTACAATCTGATGCAGCCCTCGTGTGTAAGTAACTGTCAGGAGCAAATTCGCAGGCATTAACGCTGTTCTGAGATGGTATGAATTACGGTTGAGCTTGAGGCTTGGAAACACAGTCAGTCTCGGTTTGGCCAGTAGATGGTAGTGGTACACACAGAGCTGACAAAATGAGCTGTGCAAGAGAAAAAAATCAGAGGGATCTGCTCCAGATCCTTTTGAAGTTTAATTAAATGAGCAGCAGTACTCCCAAGTTGCAGGACTGCAAATATCAGCATCAGTTCTTAGCCGTGGCTGCAACATTACAAAGCTGTGTTAAGACGGCCTTCCAAGTCTCAGTGTTCATTCTCAGCAACTTCAGTAGGATGCATTGAAGTGCTCGGAATGGGATGATGCACGGCCTTACATTGGTCTGTGGGTTTCTCTTTTGTTTGGTGAGTGATGGGAAAATCCACTTGGGTTCCTGAGTATTAATAAATAAGTAAATATATCTTTGTGGTTTGTTTTGGTTCTGATCCCTTTGATGGAAAGGTAGTTCACTGAAAATGCTCCAGCCAGGTCTCTTTGCTGTAAATGGGTTTGATTTAATGTTTTATTTCTTGACTGCATCAATGCAGGCATTTACGATCATGACATAGAATCATAGAATTGTTTAGGTTGGAAAAGACCTTTAAGAAAAGACCTTAAGACCTCTAATTTATGTGGGAAAATGAAGACATAGAAATAAAAATTATTTGACATTTTAGACATCCGTTGCATGAGTAATCATTCCACAGCACTGTTGAAAGC